TCATCCCTCGCAATGAGTCTAGAATGGTAAAATTTTTCGAAAAAAATGTTTAGGCGAATGCGTAGGAAAAAGTAAAGGAAGAAAACACACCTAGCTTGCTGAAGGCGACGGCTCGTCGTCGTCGTAAGATCGTTCACCAGCATGGCCTAACATCTGCTCACCGCGTGGATCCATTTCTGTAGCCCAACTGTAGTTTAGCAATGCCAGGTGGTTATTGCCCAATCGTCGGTGAACTTTTCCTAAATATTTCTGGGTTGACGGGACTAAACCCTTATGAAAAACTTGAGATGCATAAAATTGTATAGACTTGGGAAGCCGATTGATTACCTAAAAGATGATAAATATAAGCTTCGTCTGGCGAAACTTCTTTCAGTTCATTCAGCTCCTTAACGCACTCCTCATTCCTTTTAGTATCGAATAGTAGACGGGCCCTGTTATATCGACACGCAACATCATCAGGGTCCAATGCTAGTGCCTAAATAAGTTTACAGTGGCTAAGCACAACTTTACACTAATTCCATGCAGTGATGCCAAAAAGACCATCCCGATACCAAAATAAAGTTATCAAGACTATTTTGGCTATTTAAGACGAGCCTTTTGATAGCAAAACAATTACCAACAACATTTAAACCCAGTCGATCATGCTCATTGTTTGATGGTTTCAGAGGTGCCAAATCTAGAATTCTATATGTCTGCCATTAAAAAAATGATTATTTCGTATGTGAGCGCTTAGTCTTCTAAATTACGCATTTTCGACCTTCCATGTAGTCTTTTTCCAAAAGCTTCCAGGACTTGCCATTAATGTACTGCACGTTTTTCTTCAACACATTCCCGTACTGTCGCAGTCGCCATTCCTCATTTTTTTGGTGATGAACAACTTTCATCCTGCTCGAACTGTGTCATCGCACACATGTTCTAACGGAGTGGTATTAAACGCCTACAGCAGTATTCTTGTCCGCAACCCTGAGCTTGTTTTCCTCTTTTTGCGTACTTGACCAGTATTCACAGCCATACAGTGTTATTACGCTACTTGCAGTGCAATACATTTAGGACTTGAATTGCTCTCGCATCTGCTTGTCACACAAAACTCGTGTATATGTCTTACTTTTCATGCAATCACTTATCGTGGTCGATAGCTCGTCCTGAATTCCTTCTTCAGCAAAGATTCGAATCCACGGATAGATGAAGGAACTACTCTTCTCGATTGACTTGCTATAGATGTTTATTCGAATGACTCCCTAACTTTAAGTTCTCACTTCCATATTTTACTAGGCGGGATGACTTTGACTGCTGTCGTTGTACTTAGCTCGTGGCTCCGGAATTTTTGGACCGTTGTTTTCCCACTGCCCATAATGTGGCACCATGGGGATCTATTTGAGGGCTTCTTTCATCTAAGAAAACTTCCTTCGTCAATATCCATATAGTACAGATGATTCTAGGTGTACCAGCATCCTTTATAAATCCGCAGTTGGTACTATGTGGTTGCTAGAAGTTTTGTATTGACTTTCGAAATCTTCATGTTAATCAGCCGATTGCTCGGTAAAGTATCGTATTGATTCCCGTATCAAAACGTTGTGCTTTCTGACTGTCATGCGACATGATTTAGCTTAGATTTGATTGAAGATATGCAATCCAGGAGATACCAAGCCGTTAGCATTCTCCCCGAACTCACCTATGATATTTACCGGTCGCCTTCCGTCAAGCATTGCTTCCTCTGCTGTATGAGTGATACTTTCACAAAGTCAATTGGTGTAATGGCTGTCAATGGTGGTGGTAGAAAACTATTCTTCAAAATACCTTTGCTATCTCTTAGTAACCTCCTGTGGCCTATTTAACGCCCAGAAGTATTCCTATCTTTTGATATCGCTCTCCTTTTGGAGATTTGGTGGATATCTCGCTCTCTTTCTAACACAAGATTCCACCTTGAGCATTCCTAGGTATGTTTGTTTCACTTTCTTAATGCATTTATTTGCAGCTTTCGCTACTTGATGATTCTGTAGAGCACTTTCCAACTTCGATTCACGCCATCGCTATTACGCATACCTTTTTTTTCTTTATCGCCTCTTCTTCCTGTCTCATGCAACACAGTAAATCGCATGCTATTC